AACTAGGATGGAAGCGTCTTTTTTATAATTGTACTGACATGCGGCTGTGGTGATTAAGTAAAGCTGAAGTAAATTGCTGTAATTTATTACAAACATGCACTGTTTTAAAAGCATTTTAAACTTGCAAAACTCATTCTTGATCACATTTGTTGATAATTGATTATCCTAGCAAACTGAAAAGATCTTTTATTCCTGGTTGCTTTGCGTATGTCCTGTCTTGTTTATATGATTATATGCATTACTACGGAGTCATATTAATACCAAGCGGCAACCTCCCGCTCTCTTTAAGGAAGCCAATACGGAAGTAACTAAAACTGCAGTTCATCCGAAATTCCGCTAGTCTTAGCCGCTCCTGGCTCCAAAACAGAGCAAATTTCAATTGAGCCCACTGTTAGAATGGCCAACTTTACAGCAGAAACAAAGGTTTTTACAGCCTGGTACAAAAAAAGATTTTGGTTAATACAGCTAATATTACCCTTCATGACAACTGTGAGGGGGGTGAATTTTTTTATAACTCATCCGTTTCCTTCATATTAAGTTATATTAAGTTTGCATAATTAAGGGCGTGGTCACTTGAGTGACAGCTAGGTCTCGTTGGTCGCCGTCACATCACCTCAGCTGAATCCGGCAGATTAGCCACTATACTCGGCATATTTATCGTATTTCTGTGTTTTTTTTTATGTGGCTTTACACAGTCGACTGCCTTTTGGACTTGTTTCTAACAATTATTTGATGGAATGTCATGCTGAGTGCACTTAATTGTGCTCACAAACAGTTCACGTGGCCTCCGTTTCCCATGTGAGTAAAGTTATATACTTATATACCATCTCTATACATGTATTTGTTTTATTTAAGATCATTTATCGTTTATATTTATATTTAGAGCTGTAATGCACTCCAGAATCTGTCAGATTGATTAGCTGTAGGCTCTAGAACAGTCATCTGAAGCGTTGTCATACAGTGTTATGCTGGATTTCATTAATAGTCTTACATTAACTAATACAGACTATATCTGAGGTGTTTGGATGTAATTCGCGTTTTCCTCCTGTTGAGAAACGTCATAAGACCAATGTTTAGTGGCTCAATGTATTACAGCAGTGTTTTTAAAAGACTAAACACTTTATTGATATAGTGTACAACCAAGCAGAAGTGGTCAGAATACAAACGAGTCACAAGTGATAAAGTATTAAGCGTTCTCCCAAAGTAAACCAGGTGTCTAAACCAGGTCCAAGCAAAATGTAGCATGCGTCTGTAGCTCTGCTCACTCTCCGCCTCTTTGCCCATGTTTGGTATCCCGCCGTGGGTGTGATGACGCGCGAACAAATTGGCGATGGTTTTCCGCGCCTACTTGTGGCTTCTTTTGCGCTCTTTAGAAATCTATGGGTGACGTCACGGATACTACGTCCATATATTTTACAGTCTATCATTAATACGTAGCTGTCAATCAATTCGGTGGGCCGGGAAACCGCACTACTATGTCAAGTTGTTGTTGGCCTCAAAATAGAAGGGATTTGGATGCTGTTTTAACGTCAGGTAAATTAAAATTAAAAGAGGCTTATTGGGCCCTATGAAACCCCCGGCGCAATAAGGTGCAAGACGTGTTTGCCCCAACTTGTTGCTATTTTCAGACCAAAGCAACCTTAATTTTCCCTTTTTCCCCCACAATGTTAAAATAGCAAATCCATTTGCGCCCCTTTGTGGACTCATGGATGTTAAGGCGCATTGCTGGCGCATTGCTATTTTAATGAACTAAAATACACTGCACAATAGACCAGCTGAAAGCAGGTCTAAAGTACACACGTACACATTGCTTAAAACAAGCAGGATGTACAGCAATATGCAAATATATTTACAAATGAAAAAAAATTAAATTAATTACACTTACCAAGTTCACCATGTAAATACTCTGCGCACAAAGTGTATTTTTCCGTCCTAAAAATAGCAAAAGTGTATCCTGACAAGCCCTAATGCTTTTGCGCCCTGCGCTTTAGACTTTGCACCTAGATCATTAAAATAGAGCCCTTTGTGTTAATATCACCCCAATATGACTTTAGACACACTATATTGTCATACAGTTCTGTCCAAACAGCAGATATTTAAGAAATATGCTAAATGAACATTCTTGTTTATCTGAAAAACAATGCTGAAGTCAGTTATTCTGCTTTGAAAATGTGTTTTCAAAGAAAGGCTCTGAAAGCATGTGTCCGTGACTGAAATGTGACCTCCGGTGGACAGTAGACAGACTCCAAATTGAAATGCAGATTCAGTTCCACATCATGTTATTATTTAGCAAATAATATAAATATTAGGAACGTAAACATTAGGTGAGCAGGTTACATTGTAACCCTGTATACTAACAGCATGCATCATGTTGAGATACGCAGTGATAAGCAATTTGGCTGTTTGCACCAACAGAAATTTAAATACAGCCATTCAGAAGCTCATAATATGCACTCACTCAAAAAATTGTAAGTTTTATATTCTGTTTAAAACATATTAACACTCTTTAACATTGTTAAATGTATGTGCTGAATCACTCATATGTGTTTGATTCTAAAGTTCAATTTTAAACGATTTATTTGTAAGCATAACAGTTTAATAACTAATTTCTAATAAATAACTTTTTTTTTTTTCGCAGGAAGACCTTAAATATGATTTTACTAGTTATTTTACAAAATACTAGTATTTACTTCAAAGCATAAAGCAAGCTTTAAAGTAAAACTTCAGTAGTTGTCAACAGACCTAGATCACATTAATTTATGTTTACAGAACACAAGCCACAGACCTTCACTCATCAATAATGGAATTTTATTTTTATCTTACACAAAAGACCTTATAGTATTGGCTAAAAGGCTTTGTGTATGTGAGTGTTTGTACTCTTATATAGATTTCCTAACAATGTAGAGTGCTTCTTTAGGTAATAACATGCATAAAAAAAAAAACAAAAAAAAAACAGAAAATTTAAACGAACATTAAATTCATATGCACGAAGTACAGTTTAGGACATCAGTCATACAATGACAAGGTGTCATGCCTCAGACTAAAACAACTTTAGTCACAGGACAGGCTTCAGATCCCAGGAAAAACAACATCAGGCATAAGATCTCAAACAATTAGTCATCAGGTGAAACAAACTCAGATGAAAAGGTATCCGACAAAAAGACATCAAGCAAAACAGACTCGGGTGTGATGTGTTGCGCTGCAAGGTCATGCAGTTTAGAACAAGCAAAGTGGTGTGGAATGGTAATTTGTAAATATCACAAATAAAAGAAACAAAAGCATCACTTTTTTGTTTCTTCCATTTGTGTGATTTATTATTAAGATGGAGATATCTTGAATTCCTGATTTTGATGACACCTGTAACACATTTAGAATAAACTGGTTAGAGTCTGGACCAAGTGAACATCTCTTAGTGTTTTTTTATTTTATTTCCAACAATATAATTAAAAAGATTGGTGGCCTTTTCTAACAAAATGCAATTGCTCCACTGATTAATTGCCTATTAAATTAGCTAAATTCCATCAACAAGCTCTATTGTGAACCTTAAAAATTGACAAAACAATCAGAATTTGAATTGTTCATTTGAGTTATTGACAATTGTAATGTACTAAAACTGAAAATTATATGCCAAGTAAAATTGTTTTAAATTTTCTATCTTACACGTATTTCCAAACTTCTGATTTTTTTTTATTCTAAATTCCTTAACTGCAGATATTCGGAACATCAAATTCAATATTCTAAAATAAAAAAAATAAAAAATAAAATTGTGAAATTCAAGTTGTGAAATTCAAATTGTGAATAAAGTAGGTCAGGGGTCATCAACAGGGAAGTATGACGAAGCATTTTGGCCAGTTACAGAGCTGTGGAGCAAAGGAGGTCTTAAATTTGTTAATCTGAAAAGCAAAACAAACGGTTAGAAGGGAATTTTCTTGTACTTGCTGGGAATTTTTCATTTTACAATAATAGATTTCTTTAAAAGAAACCAACTCTTACAGACTTCTTACGTGAAACAGAATATTTATTGAGTTCACTTAGATTAATTAATAAGAGATGTGCTTCTTTAAAAAAAAATATGATGAGAACTTTCATGCAATGTTTCTTTCTTATTGTTCTCTCTCTCTCTCTCTCTCTCTCTCTCTCTCTCTCTCTCTCTCCCCCCTTTCCTGTTTATCCAATGTGGATGTTGTGTAAACTGATTATGTTTATTTTCTGTAGCCTTTTAATTGTTATACAGTTTCTTGACAAAAAAATATACAAGTAAATAAAAAAGGTGTGGAACAATTGAGAATGACAGAAGTTGCTCCCAATTTATTTTATTTTAATAATTTTAATTAAATGCTAAACTAAATCTATTCTACACATAGGAGAACATGCATTTCAGAAGTATTGTTTACATTTAAGCATTTGTAATTTTGCAATTAGCTACTGTTAACTTGTACTTTGGCAAGCTGTACCAACGTTAAAGTGAAGTCTTTTGACTCATTAGACTGCTTGGTAAAATGGGATTGTATTAGCTTATAAAAAGACGCATTTTAAATCAATCTAATTAACCAGATAATTTTTCAAACTAAGCACATCTAATAATATGGGTTATAAATAAGTAACTATTTTATATCTTTTTGTAGGTAATAATAGTTTATGTATGTAAATACAGCACATCTAAATGGCCTTCAGGAATGGCCAACTATTGGCCTTCAGTTTCTTTAAATCATATTACTGATTCAGGGTGTTGGCATAGAGGAACAAACTTAAATGCTAAAATGAAAATAAAAATGTTTTAGTAACTCCATGTTATGTATTAAATTACTGTGAATAGAATACTTTGCCCCTCTGTTCAAACAAGAGACTCCAAACCAAAAATATTGGTTTTAGAACAAGCTGAAAGCAAAACAAATACAATATGTGTCATATTAAAATGCTTAGTGTCTTTATCATCTTATATTAACCTTTGCCCTGTATAAATTAACTATTGGATACTTTGTTTCTCTTGCATCAATCAGAAATAGCATGTCTCATCTGCGCCCTGGCAGAGCAGGAGAGAACAGGCGCAGTGTGTTTTACACAGGTGGCAGTGAAGACTGGGAGATGGTGGATCCACCAACCAAGGACCCAGCTCCATCTGATTGCCAGCATCGAGAGAGTTCATCTCACTTCAATAGATGTAAGATTAGATTCTCATATTTTCCATTCTAAAGCATGATTGAGGCCTTAAAAGTTGATTTTTCATGTCACTCCTGACTTTCTACAGCCTCCATTGGTTCAGCATTCACTTTTGATTTCCGCAACCCCTCAAAAATTAAGCGACCCTTTCATAGTGGTTCTGGGAAACCTAACCACAGTGCAGAGAGCTCACCAGTTGAGTATAATGAAACCAAGATCTCCAAGTTGCAGCTTCGTATTCAGAGCCAGCAGGAGGAAATCAGCCAGTTACAGGAGCAAGAGAATAAACTCAGAGAGGAACTTGGCAGTCAGAAGGTAAAATGTCTGTGAACCAAATCAACATATTTTTTAATGTCATCTTTGAAATCTAATCTTTAATCATATTGCTATTTTTCGTTCTTCGCAGATAGCGAACATATTACATGTTAGTTATAAGTCTCATCCTAAAACTCCAAAATATTTCCCAAAATTTGATAATATTGTTTCAAAATATGATAACATTATTATTTCATTTGTGAGATGGCAGCATCTACAGTTATTTCATTTTTTAAAATAGATCCCCAATTCCCAGATTTTGTTGGTTTAAATGTTGCTTCAAAAAACCATGTTGAGGGAGTCTTGCTGCAAATGTTTACAGCGGGTCAAAGCAAATATATTTTTGTAGTTATTTATTTATTTTTGAGCTGTTTGCCAATAGTTCTTCGTCTCACATCATTAGTAAATGTATGTTTGCTTTTCTATAAAGGTATCAGCAGAACTAAAGCAAGGGCCTTGAGAACCGCAAAATGGGTACTGTTATGTTTTTTCATTTACAGTTTCCCTTTGGCCTCTAGATGTGCTTTTAACACATTAACACATTTAAACAATGATTCTGCATAACAACTAAAAGCAATATGTGGCTAGTAACAATTACAACATTATTGATAATGTCTCATTACCTTATTTATTGTTATTAACTAAGGAAACAATTTATTAAAAAGAACTTGATCCAGAGACAATTTATTGGACTTTTGTTCAATGGTGGCATAGAATGAAAATCTGGATAATCCTAGGCCTAGCTGAATAACAAAAATTCAGTACATGGGAATTACATACCGTGAGCCTTAAACATAATTGTTACCTCATTCTCATATTCTGTGAGCAGGTTTGCCAGGTTTTACCAACAACACAAGCTCAATTGCCTGTCAAAGCTAGCCCAGTAACATCAAAACTCAAAATATGTCACTGCCCAATCATGAAGTACATGTTTTATATCACTTCAAAAATTACTAATTTTAAAGGATCTGTTATTGTAACAATTAGCTTACCTTAAGACTGATTGCAGCTAGCATTGTCTTTTTCATGTTACCGACATTTGCCATTTAGATAAATGTGGGCAAATGCAGAACAACTGAAATGAACCTCAAACTTGTGAAAGTGATTTAAAATTATAGGTATTTTAAAAATCTAAAATGAACATTGTAAATATTTATAAAAACAATAAATCTACAGACTTTCTTTTGCAGATTACATATACTTTTGGAGTTTTTGTTTATAAAAATTTCTGGAAAGTCTCTCTGTTACCATAGAAACATAAGCAGGCACTCATACAGTTTCTCCTTCAAACATCCTAGCAAAGTTTTTTTTTTTTTTAAATCAATGGTAGAATATAAATTTAGTTGAGTAAATTGTTTTAATGCAACCATATTAATACAATTAATGCAATATATCACATCTGTAACGCAAGGAATGAAATAACTATCAAATATAGTCATCTCATATTAGGGCAAATGCATGAGGTTTAAAATGGACTTCTAAAACCGTTTCTGGAAATTTTGCTAGCAAATACCTAAATAACATAATAATAACTTTTAGGTAGATATCAGAGAACATTTGAACATATTGCATCAATTATTATGCTTTATTATACGGCGATTTTACTCTTCATAACATGTTCAGTGTTCAGCACCATTTAGTAATTAGATAAAGCTTGACAGTTTTTTAAAATATAGATTTTTTGGGGTCAGTCACTTGCGCATGAATATATGACTAAAGCATGAAGAAATAATGAGAGAATATACAGTGAGTTCTAGTTAATGGTAGTGAAATAAGAGCCAAGTGACTCATAGAGGTCTACTTTTTTGTTAATGGTTTTAATGCAGGGGTAGCCAATCCTGCATCTTTGGTGTTACCATCATCAGACTTTTGTTCCATATTGACCTGACACCTTCCTTTTATTTTTGAGAACACATTGTTTAGTACAGTTTCAGCCTGATGAGTGTTTAAGTTAAAATCTGTTATGGATAGGAATAGCTACTATACCAAGGTTCTAAAGGATTACAGCAGACTTTGACCTCGGCACTCTTTAAAAACTGACCATCGACTGTAAAGGATCACCGTTTTGCAAAGTCAGATTAATTGATGTGTGTTTGAGTAGTTTATCCAAGTAAATGATAGTTCCCGGTTTTCTGAAAAGAGGTGTGTGCTTCATACAGTATTTCTTTTTACCAGGAGTTGGTTCGTCTTCTCCAAAAAACACTGCGTAGCGCTCAGTGTGATTGGCCTTCCACTGTGGGACCTCACAATCATTACCTAGAAGAAAATGAGGTAGACAAAGCCTTGACAGAGCGAGACACCCAGATAAAAGACCTCTGTAGCCACATGGAGAAGCTAGCTTTGGAAAAAGAGAGTCTTCAGCAGGAATTGAAGGGTTTGAAGATTAAAGTTGGGGAGATAAATGAACAACTTGGCATGCTCATGGAGACCATTCAGGCCAAGGACGAAGTCATTATGAAACTTTCCCAGCCAAGTGGTGAAGGAGAAACCCAGTCAGCTGAATGCAACTCACCTAGTGTGACTAGGGAGCAACAAGAGTTGAACACCTTAAAGGTAAAGTAAGATCAGTGTCTTTCCCCTGTCCATTCATTAAGTAAGAATGAAGAATGAAGTAAGAATGAAGAAGAAGAGTGTAGATAAATATAACAATAACTATCAGTGTACTACACCAGAAGAGATCATCACTGTTATGTTAGGCACTTGGTGTAGTTATGTTGTATGTCATTTTAAATGTTTTGCTTTTTTACTAGGTGTGATTTCAATTGTATTCAGCTATTTTATACCTAGAATGTTGTTTTGAAATTAACCCTTAAAGAGCCATGAAACCCCCTCGTTTCAGCAGGGTGTTTTCACACCTCTACTTTGGAAAAAGTCAGAAAAGTGGGCGTGTGCAGCTCTGTTTAGGGGGGAGTGTCGGAGGAACTAAAGTGGGATGGTGTGGGAGTGTCTATTTGGGCACGCGCGAGTTTCAGTCAAAATACTCACACACAGGAGAAAGTGATGGTGTGTAGTCTACATGGACATCTGTAGTGGAATTACTTGGCAAATTATTAAATGGTGGACTTTAACTGCAGTTTGGCTCTTTCATTCAGGGAATTCATTCATGCCCCTCGCGACAAAAGATATTTGATTCGAGGATCTGCTCTATGCGTGCATTTTTCATGCAATGTTTGATACCGCACGGCGAATGAGAGAAAAAAAAACTCAGCATTTCCCGAAAAACTTAGATGCACACGGCAGGTAGCGTCAGAAAGCCGCGTGTGTTATTCCGGTCACAAAATGCGGTTAAAAACCCTACACGAGGTTAAAGTTTGGTTGTGGTCCTTACATGTTACGGTGCAATAGTTAACTTAGTCCGATACGAACAAACTGAATAAACAAAGAGCACTGGTCGCTCACTTACCAAATCTGTAGAGACAGGACAATCACCAGCAACTAGAGCCGCGTCTTTATGAATAGAATACTACAAGCGAATCCGATCTCAGCGTTTGCAGATGAGAACAGCTCTCAGGTAAACAATAATCCTCCTTAGACATGTAAGTTATTGTTGTCGAGCGTCGCGTACACTGTTAATCCACACGTGAGTCTGAGCTCTCACAGAGAGAAAAAGAAAACGAAACTTAACGGCAGCAAACTATAAAAGCAACACTTCATGCTTGTTTTGCCAACACAACGTGGTGTCTATGTCGTGTAAACACAGTAATGAATATTAATGAAGTTGCACAATAGAGCTCGCTGATTGGTTTGAACCAAGCCTTACTCATGCATTAATGCATTACACTGTAAGACGTAATAAGACACACTCTGGCTCAGATGTCCAGTCTGCACGCTGGAATATACGCTATTATGTCATGACCGTGACGCAGCTTCAAAAATTCGTTTCAAACAGGAAGTACGAATTTGCTTGAAATAACGCAAAAACAACCAATTTACACTTTTTAGTGAAATATAGGTGTCTTAATAGTGTTTTTAGCAGTGTGGGACACATATACGACTGTCAACAGCTCAAAAAATGTGTTTTGGTGTTTCGTGACCCTTTAAAGACCGAGACAGCCGCCCGCGGCTAAAAATAAGTATTGCTGTTAAATGTTTAATAACTTTTGATCCGCTGATCCGATCTATACAATTCAAAGATTGGCATAAGGAAGAGAATCTCAGCTTTCCAGTGGTGTAACACATTACATTCACGGACTTTTAGAGGCTCCGGAATCAGTGTGGTTACGTCATCAAATTTTGACAACGCTGATTTGACAAAGGAACGCTCGTCACTTGTCTCTCCGGACAAACCAGGCATGATACATGGATGCATTGTCCCTCCTCCATGCCAAGATTGGTTCAAACTCGCTCTATCTCAACCAAAAAGCATAGGTTTCGCTTTGTGAACCAACAATCAGCTCTTTGAACAACACGGAATGAGAGAAAGGCTGCACATTTACGCGCGGCTAAATAAAACGCAAAAAAAAGTTTTGCATGAAATAATTCTCATACTAAGTACTTTTGCATGCACAACAGCACAAAAACATGACAAAACAGTGACACAGCAAAGACGAAGTGCTGCTCTTGCTGTTTTCAAAGGACGCAAATGAAGGTTGGGCTGTTTATCTGCATTGCACGCGAACCATATTCATATCCACAGACAACCATATCCATGCTGGCACATAAAACCTAAGGATGGTCCATATTGAATCTAGTTTAGTTATGTAACTATTTATAGTATAGTAAATATTTACATCTATTTTATTTACTGAGGATTTGCACCATGTTTATTTGGACTTTGACGCATTATTTATTATTTTCTTATTTTATATTTGTTCATTATAAGTGGTGTTGTTTATAGTAACTAAAAATATATTATTTGGAAAAAGTCAAATTTGCTTCAGTGTTCTGTTATTTTGTAACATTTTTTTCTGTTTAGTTCATTCCCAGAACTTTTGGGCAAATACATTGTCAGTAAATAAATGCATTTTTTTCCCCCATTGAAAAACGCCTTGGAATAACATTGAAATAAATTGCTATAACTTGCTCAGGGAATGGTGGATGTAGACAAAATTTATTTTGGAAGTATAAAACATCATAACATGTATTTCTAAAGAAAGAAAAACAAACTTCCTAAGGTTTTGTTTGTAATAACTAGAAAATGCCACTTTTTAAAAAAATCGTTTCTGGAAAATTCTGGAATATTTTCTGTCTGTTCATATGTTTTTGGACCAAAAAAAAGTTTTAGACTGGACCTTTAAATGATACAGATTGAAACTTCAGGTTCTCCTGTTTAAAATAATATATGACACTTGAGTCTGACTGCTAAAATAAAAATAAAACTGCATTAAAAAAATAATAATAATATAGGCCCATTAGGTGCCCACAAAATACCTCTAGGTCTTAAAGGGTAAATGCTCATGGTTATAGTAATCATCCTAGGCGTAAGTTGGTTTTAAGACATTGTAGTTGTTCAGTAGTCATTAATTTAAAATCCAAATAATCTTTTTTGTTCTTGTGCTGTTTTAACTGTAAAAAACTTGTTTGTATTGTAAGAATTTAGAATGAATTTTTATGTTTTTGTTTTACACATTTTGAAAAACAGATTCATTAAACAATGTTGCATAAATTAAGTTGAAACACAGTATGTTGTTTTAGTAATTGCGGCATGATAACAGTACATGCAATATTGCTAAAAACGATGGTCTCTGTAGTGCCTTACTTAAAACTTGGATGTGGTTTTGTGCTTTTCCAGGATAGTCTACAGGGATACAAATCCCAAAATAAGTTCTTGAACAAAGAAATCATCGAGTTGACTGTCTTACGAAGAAATGCTGAATCCAGAGAGAAATTGCTGGAGGCAAAGGTCTGTGACTTCAGTAACTACATATCATATAAATCGTTGGTGTTTAGTTTGCAGGTTCCTTATTTGTTATGTTGGCATTAAGTTTTCAGTTTATTCCTAGCATTTCATTATCCTCTGCAAGTTGTTTGTGCAAGATTTTTTCTTGAGAAACTTTTTAAAGTTTTTTTCTCATGTTCTTTGCACTTTTTTTTCTCTTTTTGGGTGCTGTACAGTACAATAGTTTGGAAGCCAAGCTATGTCAGGTGGAGAGTAAGTACCTGGTTTTACTACAGGAAGTGAAGTCCCCCGTATGCTCCTCTTCAGAGCAGACCCATAGTGGAGATGTCATCACCCGCTTACTTGAAGATGCACTACAGGTGGAGAGTACAGACCAACAGGAACACCCTGTCCTCAAACCCAATGCTGTCAGGTAAATTAGTTAATGTTTAAAAAATAATTAATTCACTATTTGCTAATGCCTAATAAATGGTTCATAGTGTGTAGTTGTTATAAAGTGTATAGTTGTTATAAAGTGTATAGTTGTTATAAAGTAGTTGTTATAAAACTCTTGTCTTAGGGCATCTTAATCTTTTATGAAAATTGAACTACAAACATTTTTACATAAAAGCTTACAAGATAAAGAAATCACTACCATGAAAATGTTTGTAATCTTTTTATCAGAATCTATTCAGTAACAAGACAGGAGTTTGTTATTTTGTTTTGTTTTTTTATTCAAAATGCTTGACGCTTGATCTGTAATTTACATATTACAGACTTAACAGTACACAGTAGCCAGTAATAACAGTTTACCTGTACGTGTTAAACTGAGTAAGACTAACTTAACTGACTGAATATAGTGGATGCTTGGGTAAAATGATAGCATTAATGTGGCTAAATTAAACTTGCTGTTATCAAAATAAAGTGTAAAACTTTGTTTTGTGTACTTGTGTTTCTTTAACATTTTATATTTTCTTTAATATTTATTATTCATATGCAATATTTATACTTTAATATTTTTGCTAATAGAGCTCTAAAAAGCCCAACTTTGTATGTTTTAGTCTATAGATTTTTTTGGGAACTCTTTATTCTGATAGTCCATTTGACTATTAGTAGACTGTCTCCTTAATATCAGTTGATACTGCTCCTTCAACAGACATTTAGCTGATTATAAGAAACTTAGCAGGTCACATTTATAAAATTGGCTTTTTAAGTTTGTGAGTTTTGATTTGCAAACAATACAGCAAGTGATTAATGCTACTATGATATTCTTCTTTAGTGAGTATGATATTTATGGCTTCAAAACAGTCCCGGAAGAGGAAGATGAGGAAGAAAAGCTTGAAGCGAAAAAGAGAGCACTGGACCTAAAGTCCCTCTCTCTGACAGACCAGGAGACGTCAGTACGAGTGAAGTGGGACAACTATCTGGCCATAACCATGAACAGAGAGATGGTCCGGTCTCCAGACCTGAAGGCACTGATGCGAGGCGGGGTACCTCACATACATCGTTCAAAAGTTTGGAGCTGGTGTGTGAGCTTCCATGTAAAGAAGATGCGTGACTGCCAGCCAAAAGATTATTATCATAACCTTTTGTGCATGGCAAATGATAAACCCAATCCAGCCTGCAAGCAGATAGAGCTTGATCTCCTGCGGACACTTCCTAACAACAAGCATTATTCCTCCCCTGATTCTGATGGTATCCAGAAACTTAGGAATGTGCTGCTGGCTTTTTCCTGGAGGAATCCAGACATTGGCTACTGTCAAGGCCTCAATAGGTAGTAGATCCAAATTATTTAATTAGTCCTTAATTTAATTATGGCTAAAGCAACATCAACCTCTGAATGCCTAGATTTGAAAGAGATGTATAATTATTTCAGGCTGGCAGCTATTGCTCTTCTGTATTTGGACCAAGAAGATGCTTTCTGGTGTCTTGTGGCCATTGTGGAGGTTTTCATGCCACATGACTATTACACTAAAACACTGCTCGGCTCACAGGTACCATTTTTAAAAATATCACTCACTAAAACAAAACCAATATTTCAGTTATTCAGATATTGAACTTGTTTCTCAACAATGAAACTTTGTAACCTATTGTTTTATTAGTACTTGTTTGTATTTGTAATCCTGCTTTGAAAAGTCTGCATTGTAAAAAGTCCAAGACCGGTTACTCACTGAAGCTAAGCAGGGCTGAGCCTTGATGGGAGACCACATGATAAAACTAGGGTGCTATTGGAAGTAGTGTTAGTGAGGACAGCAGGAGCTAATACCACAGTATAGTGAATGGGACACTAAGCAGTGGGTGCCACTTTTCATATGAGATGCTAAACTGACTCTCTGTGGACATTAAAAATCCCATCGCACTTCTTGCAAAAAGAGTAGGGGTATAACCCCAATATCATGGCCAAGTCCCCTCAATCGGCCCTTACCCATCATGGCCTTCCAATCATCCCTTTACAACAAATTGGCTCTACCACAGTCTCTCCACTCTACCAATAGCTAGTGTGTGGTGACCGCACTGACGCTGTTGTACTGTGACTGCTGTCACATCATGCAAGTGGATGCTGCACACTGGTGGGAGTGTGGAGAGAACATGTTTATATTCTGACCTAATTGTAATGTGATGTTTAATTGAAACCATGATGATGGCGTGCTGATATTCAAGGCCTGTGATTGCTGATATATGTTACAGCAGGATCAAAAAAAGACCTGTCTATGGTCATAAATCTGATAAATTTGATTAGTTGTATTACAAAATAGTTGTTACTTGTTTTTTTTTTTGTTCTGTTTATTAATTGTTTTGACTTGTTTGTGATGTAGGTGGATCAGCGTGTGTTTAAGGACCTGATGTATGAGAAGTTACCCAGACTCCACGCCCATTTTGAGCACTATAAAGTAGACTTCTCTCTCATCACCTTCAACTGGTTCCTTGTTGTGTTTGTGGATAGTGTGGTCAGTGACATCCTCTTCAAGATCTGGGATTCTTTTCTTTATGAGGGACCAAAGGTATTGAGTGTTATATTGGCATGTTCCAAAATAAATCATCTGTTCATTGATTATGTACTGTGTTAATTCTGTTTTCACATGGAGTCTAAACTGCATAGTTCATTATATCCACAAAAGCACATCACATAAGACATTTTCTGACAAAGCTAAAACAAACATTGTAAGTCCTTAATGAGTGCTGACAGAGTTTTTTTTCGTTGACAGATAATTTTCAGATTCGCTCTAGCTCTCTTCAAGTACAAAGAAGAGGAATTCCTGAAACTCCAGGATCCTATGACCATTTTTAAGTACCTTAGGTACTTTACACGTACAATCTTGGATGCAAGGTGCTTGTGTTAATAAAAATGCAATAAATATAACTTTTGAAAAATAGTTTTTAGATATTTGTTACTATTGATTTTGTGTTCCTTACAGAAAGTTGATGGCCATGGCTTTTGTGGACATGAACCCATTTCCACTGAGGCAGATCCAGAACAGGCGTACATTCCACCTAGAGAAGGTCCGTCTTGAACTCACAGAACTTGAAGCCATTCGTCAGACCTTCTTGCGAGAGAGAGAGAGTACCATGGATGGCCGCACACTTATCAGTGATGATGAAGAGGAAAGCTGAAGCACAAAGAGGCCAGACATCCAAGCTGATTAAAACCATGACGTGTATTATACTTTTCAAAGAATTTCAATGAACAAAATGTGACTTTGAGAGACCAAAGAACAGTATTGTTTTCATTTTATCAAAATGTATGTCTTTATGGTGCTTTTTTCATTTTATTTTATGTTTGATCAATATAATTTCCATTTGTACAAAGTGACAAGTATTAATATTAAAGTAACAGAAGAACTTTGTATTTAGGAAGTAACAATTGTGCTGGTCCAAATTGGATAACTGTCTTTCTCATGATACACCATTATTTTTGGACATATTGGGATATGCTATTCTGGGCACTAACACTTTTTCTAGTCATACTAATTAAAATGTTTGTTTGTTTACATTACCTTCAATACTTGTATTAAATGAATAATATAGTTATTAATCATATTCTGGGTTCTGAGGCCTGCCCTCTTTTGAAACATTTGATAGTTTGGCACATTCTGAGTGATTTTAGTCAAATCAAGCAGTGGCAAACATAAAAATCAACATATGTGACATGGATCTATCACCCAATTCTTTCCTTTCCATTTAGGTGTCTTATTATTTCTTTTTTGGCAAAGATTATGCAGCGGTTAAGTTGTGATTTGTTACAGAAAACTTGAAATTAAAAACTTTACTGTGAGAGCTGGTCTCTCATAATGGACATTCATTTCCAGGTATTGAGGTGCAGATATGTTTACTTGCACTGCACTTGTAGAGAAAAATGTATTTGTGTACATTGTGAGATCTTGTTTTGGACAGATTATTTTTCATGAACAACAAGTGTACAACGATCTGTTTTTGGAGATTTTGCCTTAGACTTTTTAGGGCATGCTTTGTTCTACAAAATCAGTCGTTGCTTAGACTAGGATTTTAAAACCCCACAAAATAGGGCATCGTTTCTATAAGAATTGATGGCTGCACAAATAGGTGTACAGTATGTAGCCATGAAGTTGTATGAAAAAATAGCTAAATAAAACAGAGTTTTACTAAGCTATGAATTTTATTGCCATAGTTGCTGGAGCTCAATGCAACGTCTTGTATAAGCCTTAATGTGTACAGAAAACTTGTCTTACAACATTATTATTGTAGTATAATTTTAATTATACTTTTTAAACACTTAATATCTTACGCTCTCAGAAAAAAATGGTACAATGTTGTACAAAAGAAGGTACAAAGCCTTGTCACTGGGGCAGTACAGTACCTTTTTATGGAACAGGATTGTACCTTAAGACAAAGAAACAAATTTGTACCATTGCAGTATTGTACCTTTGGTTTTTAAAACCTGCAGATACAATATTGTACCTTCATCACCTTCAGGTAAAAATGTAATCTTTGAAGGCACCACCACAGTGACGACACTTTGTACCTTAAAAGTATCAAATGTGTTCAAGAACTATTTAAAGGCATTTTGCTATATCCTTTCAGTAACTATAAAACATCAAATACATTTTAAACAATGTTTTTTTTTAAGTTTCTTTTTGTGTAAATGCACCTTTTCCATTTACAATATAGAATAAAAATACTTTAACATAAATCAAAAGATTGTTTTTTGCTAAACATTTCATGACACGTTTCACAAAATGTTACAGAAATGCATTCTTTCATCTACAATATAAAACTTTTTTCTCCTATTTTCACACAATACCTTTGTAATCATTTAAAAGTTAATTTAATTTACTTTATTTTAAAATAGAAATATAGTAATGCAAAAGATTTGCAACGAGATAAGCACAAGTTTTGATTAGTTTTACATTACTAAAATGTCTGCATGAACACTTTGCATATGCAGGACTTTTGCCAGCTCAAGTGCGTAGTGGAAAGCAAATGCCAAAAGGAGCAGATATCAATAATGAAAATGCATTTATCAAAAAATATTGACCAAATTTTTATAAAAAAATGCCTTAAATATTTATTTTACAATACCTAGAGTTTTGTTTTACCAGTTGTTTTATATTATAGAACTTAAAAATGGATGTTTCTGAGTTTCTTTAAACGTGCTTTTAAAGGATGATTCATGTTTTAATATGGAAATTATTCATAAAATCACTTGTCCAGTAATATTTATTTTCAAAGATATTGTAATAAAGGAGTTGTCCAAAGCCTATGTTACTTTTTTATTAAAACAATTTTGTACTTTCATGTCATTATTCTTCGTTTATTGTACAATAAAAGGTACAGAACAGCATCATAAGAGGTCTTTTCTGTACCATATAAAGTACAACTTTTACAAAGGTAAAAACTTTTCCTCAAGGAACATAGTTTGTACTAACATGTACTTTTTATGTACATCAGAAACCGCTAGATAGTGTTGCTGAAAATTCCAACATTGTAAAAGGTGTGATAAATAATCTGATGGGTGTTCTTATATTCTGGAGACACAAAAGCCTCATGTTAAATCTTGAAATAGGGGTAAAATAGGTGCCCTTTATATTCAAACGAGCTGTTTCTCCTGACCCACCGCTCTGACATGTATCTGCTTCCTATGTTACATCAGATAAACAGCCATCAGTAATGGACACATAGAAGGATGAAGCTGAAACAAGGCCACTAGTCAAAAATACCAAGTTTATTTGATGTCGTTGTGGTGGAGTTCATTTAAGCCTTACTGAAACGATGTCCCACACAAATGCTGTTTGCAGTAGTGCACACACTCATATATGCATGTTTACTAACACAATGCGGCTGTGGGGATTATAGCGGCTAAGAATTACATAAGGTATTTTTCTCAATTACATGCAGTTTTAAAAACATTTAAAACTTATAAAATTAATTAATGAGGTGCAGCTGATGACAGAGAGTTAAAACGGAATACAATACATTTTTATTTATTTATTTACATTTTTTTTAATGCATTTAATGACGAAATTCTTAAAATTGTTGACACATTACTGCACCACATTACAGACACAGATGCACAATAAACATTTTCGAAGTATCAAATGTAAAGAAAGAATAAATGCATTTTATAAACTCACTGATTTAGCCTCATATATAAATACCACACAATCTCACGAGAATTAAGTAACTCTGCTACTTTAGTAGTGATGTATATATTACATTGTTGAAGGCAACCTTATATGTGTTATTAGTTTTTTTAATTTACAAAAACATCATTGAGGGCATGAATGAATATATACACAAAATAGTTCATATTAAACATTTTAGCAAATAAAGCTAGTGCATAATTATATTCCCTACTGAAAAAAACAGCTTAAAACAGCCTAGGCTGGTTGGCTAGTTTTAGCTAGTCAACCAGGCTGGTTTTAGAGGTTTTGGCCATTTCCAGGCTGGTTTCCAGCCTGGTTGTAGCTGGTCAGGCTGGGAGATGACTAGCTAAAACCAGCCTGACCAGCCTAGCCAGGCTGGGAGCCCAGCCAAAACCAACTAGCTATGTCCATCTTAAACCAGGCTGGTCAAGCTGGTTTTAGCTGGATTTAGCTGGTAATTTTCCAGCCTGACCAGCTAAGACCAGCCTGGAAACCAGCCTGGAAATGGCCAAAACCCCTCTAAAACCAGGCTGGTCAACCAGCTAAAACCAGCCAACCAGCCTAGGCTGGTTTAAGCTGGATTTTTCAGCAGGGTTGTCTGTCTGACATGGTAATCTAACGTTTAAAACTGAATTCACATTAAAAAAATTAATATGACACTATGCCGCCTAAGGCGAGGCAGTGGCGCAGTGGGTAGCACGTTCGCCTCACAGCAAGAAGGTCGCTGGTTCGAACCTTGGCTCAGTTGGCATTTCTGTTTGGAGTTTGCATGTTTTCCCTGCCTTCACGTGGGTTTCCTCCGGGTGCTCCAGTTTCCCCCACAGTCCAAAGACATGTGGTACAGGTGAATTGAGTGTGCTAAATTGTCCATAGTGTATGAGAATGTGTGTGTGGATGTTTCCCTGAGATGGGTTGCGGCTGGAAGGGCATCTGCTGTGTAAAAACTTGCTGGATAAGTTGGCGGTTCATTCCGCTGTGGCGACCACGGATTAATAAAGGGACTAAGCTGACAAGAAAATGAATGAATGAACTATGCCGCTTAATATCTTCTTCCCCTTACCAGACGCATTCAGAACAACAGGGATGTTTATGTTCTATTAGTTTAATCCAAAGGCTTTTGTGATGGTAAAATGTGAAAATATAGAGTTTTTGATGAAGAGAGTGTTCGTGGCAGACTGACAAAATTTAGTGTGTTGCCATGGAAGAGGAAGTACTTATAACTCAGTCACACAATGTCTGAAATTTCACAGGTTTAGTGAAATTGATCTCCTGAAGACATCTACTTGCCAATATTTAGTTAGTCATAGCGCCACCTGCTGACAGAAGGAAGCTTGGCATAATCAGTAAATGTCAGGTTTTTATATTCATCAGTTTAAATTTATATTGTTCACTCTTCTGTGTCATCGTGATCTTGTGTTCACACCAGACGTGGAAGTAGTGTCAAACGTGAGTGAATGAATCGGTTGTTGAGCCTTTTGTGAGATTGATGCACTTTACATGCGAATCACTCGAGTTGGAGTATCTGAACTTTTGCTGACATTCATGGCACGTAACCAATCAGAAGCTTGCTCTTAAGGTTGTTGGTGTCCTGGGGAAAAATTCTCCTTTCGACACCAGACACAACAGTTCATCATTCTGGGCTCGGCTCAGTCTGAAGCTTCCATCCTTCAGCTATAATTTCTGGAGGAGTTCATGAACTCAAAGAGCTGGGTGCACTTCTGAATAGATCTAGTTGACTCAGACACTGCTTTAAACAAATCCACACTGTTTTTCAGCCTTAACCATATAAGCACAGCTATTCTCTCAATAAAATCCATATTAGCCATTTAGCAATGAAGCTAGAGTCACTGGGCAGACAGAAGCCCTGATGCGAATCCCCGTTTATTGAGAAGTGAAATTGACACTCAAATGAAGAAAGTAAACTCATGATTATAAATATCTTGATTTATTTTACATTACGCATCTGATGTGAACACAGCATAAGGGCACTGGGCAGCAGTGAGCCCAGGTGTGAGGTCCCTTTCATCTTGCAGCTTTAACTTTTGTTATTATTACTTTCCAAAGCTCAGCTGACACCCGGAGCTCTGTAATGCTTTATTCATCTAATTAATTAAATTAATTGAAATTATTTAAAGCCTCTGGCTGATGTTTTAACCTGGAGGACTAGGAAAAGTTTGCAACTTTAACTAAGGTGAAGTGAAACGAATTCTGCATGGAAAACAACCTTGTATAAAAGTAGATTTCTGATTTCTAACTATATGTGAATAAATTGTAAGACCTGATAAATTTTGGATCTTTTAAAAGTAAATAATGGATAATGTTGAAATTTAATAATTTAAATGCCAACCTCACAGCAAGAAGGTTGCTGGTTTGAGCCTCAGCTAGGTCAGTTGGCATTTCTGTTTGGAGTTTGCACGTTCTCCTCGTGTTCACATGGGTTTCATCCGGGTGCTCCGGTTTTCCCCACAAGTTCAAAGACATGCGCTATAGGTGAACTAGGTAAGCTAAAGTGTCCATGGCGAATGTGTGTAAATGAGTGTGCATTGGAGTTTCCCAGTGATGGGTTGCGGCTGGAAGGGCATATGCGTAAAACATATGCTGGATAAGTTGACAGTTCATTCCGCTGTGATGACCCCTGTTTAATAAAGGGACTAAGCCCAAAAGAAAATGAATAAATGAATATGCAAATGTATATGAATCATTGATTTAATAAAATTGCTGATGGTAATGAGCATTTTACTGAAAACTGTTTTTGTTTTTAGTATGTTTATCTGTTTTCAAAAGATAATGTCTATATAATTTATTCACTTTATCTAATGCATTGTTCAGCCAACATTGTGGATATCCTCTTGAACGAAATCTTTGAAATCTGTTTTTCTGTTTATCAAACTCTTCTACAGTACAGCAATTAGGTTTCAGTCTGTAACTGACTGACTGGCAAGCTATGCTGAATATGGACTAGATTGTAAAGGTCCATAGATATTATTGTGTTAATATTATCTGCA